AAAAAAAGTTCCTTCCCCCGCTTCTTCCTTTCGCCTCCTCATATTTTTCTTCCTCGGGGATCAATTCTATCTATTTTTTGGCGGTGTCCCGAAAACGTGTGTGTGAGTGCTGTTTATGTCGTGTGCGTCGGGGACAGTGTCATTAATTAGTGGGCCATCGAGGAAGTAATTAACTGGAATGGCAATGACGAGGATTGCCGGAGGAGGAAGAAGTGCGTTGTGTGCGAGTCCCACAGCATGTGCTCGCAAGGCGTCGTTCTATGTCTGGTTTCTAGGAGCCAGGGAAAGTCCAGGTATGGATTTTGAAGAATTCTGTAAATCATTGAAAAGAAAATGAAGAAAATACGCAGGCAAACCCCGACAGATAAACAGAAAAACCGCTGTCAAAATACGATAAGATGCGCCACCATTATTTGTTCAACGAGGGGTTTGCAGGTTTAAAAATGAGATTCGCCGTTTTTTTTTATGTCTTCATTTTTTTTATTTTGAAACAACTTCAAACAAGAGACGATTGTTACTTTTGTATTTTAATCAAAGTCACTTGAATAAACAGTGAGACACCGAGATGCAGACGTAATTGGTGCATCAGGAGTGTCCCTAAGTTAAAATGTCCCTAAGTCAAGTCTCATTTTCCCTTAGACTTATTGCATTATATACTTTTTAATTGGTGTCTTATGGACAAAATTCTCATCATAATTCCATGAAAATAAAAATTGTCTCCCAATTTAAACTCATTCATTCAACATATTTCAGCACAGGATGGACATTTGGAGCATTGAATACTGATATCTTTACAGTACATAGAAATGTTGGCATTCTCTGTAAAAATAACATTCAATGAAAAAGAGAGAAGGAATTCCCTCTAAGCTGGAGGTTTTTTAAGTTAGCTAAATTGGTGGTTAATTGGTGAGAGAAATGCCCTGGAACTTTTCTTACATCAATGTTAGTGTTGGAAATATCTGTTTCTTGTAATTTGGCCTGAAATGTCTTTGTAATTTTATCACAAAATGTCCCTATGTTGAGTTGGTGTCCTCATTTTGGGCCTTTTTTATTAAATTTTTTCTGGGAAAATAAGTGTCCCTATGTCAAATTGTCCACATGTTGAGGTGTCCACATGTGGGGGTCTCACTGTGTGAGTGCGTACATCAATCATACTCATATATATTTTTCTGGAAATAACCATTTTGATAATTTTTAAAATTTGGGAGTCTGAAGAGATAAGCCTTACAATCTTACTCAAAATTGGCCAGGTATAATAAAGAAGGCAAAATCACTGCTCAAGAACAGTTTTGTTTTACAAATACTGTAATGTTGGCAGATGGCGATTGGCATCTTTTTTGGGGGTTCCTATGCTATTTAACCCTTGGGGAAATTCTTTTAGTGGAAAGTTTTAGTAGTTTCAGAGGGTGGCATTTGATTGCGGGTTGACCGTAATGCATGATAAGGATGATGTTGAAAATCTGTGTTCTTATGTATGTGTATGTTTTTGACAGGCATTAAGAAAAAAAAAGGATCAGATGACGAGTCTCAAATTATAATCCACGTTTGTGCGGCTTGATATTATTTCTCATTTTCTTTAAAATTGATAATTATTTTTATTTAAAGTAAAATTTAGAAATTAGGGGTCCATTGTTTTGTTTTCCTAATTTCTCTGTGCCTATATGTTTTCGATAGAAGAAAACAGACCATATCCTCAAAATTACGATCGAAGTTTCAACTCAACTTCAAAAATTTCAAATCTTTTTTCTTGCGCTTCGAGCTTATTTCTCTCTTTTGAAAATTTAGAATCAAGTATCGTTTTTGTGGAATGAAGCGCTATTGATTTATTCTAATACAGTATTGGTCTCGTGTATGTTGAAACTATAGAAACTTTTCTCCGAAAGTAAGACCACAATAATTTGAATAACGCCGC